AAAAAAAAAATACGGATGCCTGAGTCTTATCCTCAGTGATTCTGATTTAACTGGTCTGGGGTGTGGACTGGGCATCAGGATTACACTAATAGTAGAATTACAGGAGAGAGTACACAGAGAAGCACATTTTGTTCTCCTTCCTTTTTCTCTAGAGACTTCTGGGAAGGAGCCCACATGGAACTTCTGGAAGTACCTAGTGGCCCCAGATGGAAAGGTGGTGGGAGCTTGGGACCCAACTGTGTCAGTGGAGGAGATCAAACCCCATATCACAACCCTGGTGGCAAAGCTCATTCTGAAAAAGCATGAAGACTTGTGACCACGTTTCCTCTTCGCCTCCACCCCCATCCCACCCACCTATTTACAGTGACCAAAGCAAACTCAAGTGGTGCTTTATAGGAAGAGTCTACTATTCTCTTTCCTTCACTCTTATCCGTATCTATCATTCTTATGGGGGAAATTTTCTAGTATTTTGATTATTTGAATCATAGAGCAACCAACAGGAACTCCTGGCCGCTGAGAGCTCTGCACAGTGAATCACCAGCTAACAGAATCTATAAATGGTGGAAAAATGTGCCAAGTAGAAGGATATCAAGCAATAATCTCCTACCCAGCCAGGCCTCTGTAAAATGGGGTCTGTTCCTACCTCACAGGGCTGTTGTGAGGGTTAGGATGAAACACATGTGAAAGTGCCTAGGGCAGTACTAGCCAAACAGGAAGTGTTCAATAAAATAAAATAAATGTTTTTTGCATATAAACCAAAAACTGACTTCTGATCAATAATACTTGTACCCAACATGAATGTCCACCCAATGGAAATCTAGGCCAAATGTGTAATTGCTGTTGTTGGCCTCTGTGTATTATTTTCTAATTACAAAAGATGCAAGTTCCTGGGCTGGAGATAAAGCTCAGTAGTAGAGTGCTCACCTACAATATTCAAGGCCCTGGGTTCGATCCCCAGAACTGGGTGGTGGTGGGGGAACCAAATGTGTAAAACCCAAATAATGCAGACTGGTATAAAAATGAAAATCTCCCCCTCATTTTCTGCACTCACTCCATAGAAGTAAATACTGTCAGCAATTTGATACAAAGACTTCCAGTCCTTTTTTGTTGTTGTTGTTTTTGTGGTAATGGAGTTTAAACTCAGGGCCTCACAACACTTGCTAGGTAGGCACTCTACCACTTAAGCCACTCTATCTGCTCTCCTCCCAGCCCACCTCCCGCCCCTGCTTTTTTCTTGCTATCAAGCTAATCAGTAATGCCCAATAAAAATTTTTTTT